TTTTGAAGAGTCCTTTACTTCATTTATGTGTATGACTTTTCTATTTTTCTTTGTAAGTTCTACTTATTTCTAAAGTAGTACACAAATACTATATGAATATATTTTAAAAGAAAAACAGAAAAAGGATTATATTACAGCAGTCAAACAAAGTGGATTTGCAACTAGTAAAATTACTATTGATGCAGCTTGCTTGAGCAGATGTAAACCATCTTTACATTATGTAGATACTATAGAAATGATAGAGAGATGAGAGATAGACAATAGAAATGAGGGACAGAGAGCGAGTGTGCACGAGAGAGTGTGCATGAGGGAGACGGGGAGATAGAGACAGAGAAAGAGAGATTAGAGAGAGAGGGAAGGGGAGAGAGAGATGATGTAATGAGAGTGTATGTAATATGAGTAAAATAAATTAAAGTTGAAATGGAAACATGAAGGTTAAGGCGTTTTGGATATGAGTAAAAATTTGATTATGAGAGACAGATGAGAAAGATTTGCGGGTGGTTTCCATTAAAAGAAAACGTGGTAGACCTAACGAAGATGGAAGTAGCAGGTTCTTAACGTCAAACAAAGAAGAGATCTTGACAAAACTGACTGAAATGATCTCAGAGACATCCACAACAGCTTTAAAACAACTGGCAAAACAATTAAAAAGCTTTATTGAAAATGGCTAATGTTCTTTTGTCATATCAATTAGAACATCAGTGTGCCCATATGAAAAGTTTGGAAAAACAACACTAACAACAACAACAACCAGATATATTGAGAAAATATTGTTTGGTATCTAGAGAACTACTAACTACAGAACTTCAGAAATGTCTCTCACTGTGTTTCATAATTTCATCAAAACATAATATGTTATAATACTGCACATGATATGACAGACAATTCTAACATTGAAGAATGGGTAATATTAAGAACAAAACCTCTGAATTTCGTAATATAGGTGTAGGAAGAATTTTAACCTCTTAACTTACCAATTATAATATGAAAGGCAGACCAAAAGTATCCAATTTTTACAATTCATGATAATTTATGTTTTCTACTAATACACATTGTAGACAAAAATATCTTTTTTAATTAAATATTTTAAGATACAACTAGGAACTTTTAAAAAATACTTATATTAAAAGCCAAATTATATTCATATATATTCAGACATAGGTCCAGCTATATGGAAAACAGTATCTTTTTAATGGTATGTGTATTTCATGATTTTCAAAAATAGCAATATACGGGCCTGACAAACCCGAGAAAGCAAGTCAGGCCCACTTTATGCTAAAATTGCACAACCATGCTTTTGAAACTAGTGAAGCTAAAACTGCATGTACTTTCTCACCTGTATTTTTATACAAAACTACGTGAAAAGCACTCAAATTTTTCAAATACTGTACATTACCTAATTTCAAAATCTATCTTTAAAAACAGATTTCATTAAGGAAAAAAACTATATCTTCATTTTAGTTGTAGGAAGTCGCCAAAAAATTTTGAATTTTTGCAATTTTCAAAAAATCAGAGTTTTTAACGAAAATGAGACCTGTGCCAATCTTTTAAATGTCCTTCAGACTATCCAACAATAAAATTTATCAAAAACTCACAAAACATGGATTCTGGCTACACCATGAGGTAGAGGATTTTTTTCTTAATTTAGCAACTGTATTTATCCATTTTTCGTTACCAGGGTCCTGTAATAAGAGTTTTTCTGCCGAAAATTCGCAGTTTATTCGTGCAGGATTACACAACTTTTTCCCTACTATGTAAGCAGGAGCAAGAAAGAAAAAATGGATGGCCATAAAATTCATGAATTCAGCATTATTCTATACAGCCTTGTTTAATGGTATTGCTTCAATAACTTAATTACTCCTACTCAAGCTAATATGTTTTTTTGTATACTTTTTGTCAGTAGTATACTTTTGTTTAATACATATATGTAATCACAGAATAGTATTTATTTATAAGGGTCCAGCTAGCATATGTAATATTTTACAAGTAATACTTGTGAGATTGTATCTTTACTTTATCACAGATTTTTAAATTGTTTACAATACAAATTGCAACATTGAACAACTGAATTATGAAAGAATTATATTTATTGTGTTGATTATAAATAATGGCTTGTCATTGCCTCAGACATGTATATCTCTTAATTCATGATAACTTTAAAAACATTGTATATATAAACCAACATTAAATTTAGAGCAATTTGCACAAACTGGAGGAAATTTGTTAATACGATTTGCCTTGTGCACCTTTTCTTTTTTTTTCTGTTTTCTGAGCGATGAAATTGATAAAGATGTTTGGGATACGCCATACAAAACGGTCATGAGTACATTTATAAAGCCACATACCCACTCTACCATACAACCTGCCCTAACATTCTTCGGAGATCTATGACTATTTCCACACCACCCTGATGAACTGACGAACAACATTCCACTTGATACACAAATGACATCAGTCACTGAGGATAAGCTACTGCAGGTTATCAGCAAAATTGGCAATTCCAAAGTTCCAGAACCAGATAATATCCCCTACATCGCCCTCAAGACTGTGATATCCGCTCATCCGCTGACATACTCATGCCTGAGAGAAGGGATGCTTCCTGAGAAATGGAAGAAAAGGCAATTAATACTTTTTCAAAAAGGGAAAAATAAACTTCTGTAAAAACCGGGGTTGCCGGCAGCTGTGCATGCTTGATACTGCAGGTAAGGTTTTTGAGAATATTATTAGCTCAAAATTGGAAGACGAAGAAGATAAGGGGGTGGGCTCAGAGAACCGGTATGGCTTTCGCAAGGCACGCTCAACAATCGATGCCGTTAAGTTTGTCGTTAACACTGCCCGACAGGCCATTAGAGAGAGCAGGTGAAAAAGAGGCGCAAAAATGTGCTGAACAGTCGTAACATCGGATATTAACAATGCTTTTAACCCGACAAGATGGAGTTACATTCAAGAAGTCAATGTACCTACGTACTTATAAAGGATAGTGGCTGAATATCTCAACTGACGAATTCTAGTGTGCAATACGGATAGAGGACCACAACCTGGCCAACGGTACACAACATCACCGCCGGGGTCCCACATGATTCGGTGCTGGGTCCATTGCTGAGGAAGATCGTATGATGAGTTCCTGGGCTCCACCTCCCACAAGGAACTAAAAGCAGAGGCTTCGTAAGCGATATTGTCATTGTCACAAAATTTGGAGAAGAGATCGTGTGTATCTGCAATGAAGTCATTGCCATTGTCAGTCGTTGGCTGGATTCTGCAAGATTGCCGATCAAGAGACAAAAGTGATGCATGTAATAGAAAGAAGGGAGTATCTATCACTCTCAAAGTCGGTCATCACACAATTTCATCACGTTGTGCGATAAAATCTCTCGGCATCACGATCGACACGCACTTGTCCTTTACAGAACACTTAGACTATGCCAATAAAAAAAAGCAGTGGTGAATGCTTCGTTGACTGGGCTAATCCTACACACTGGAGGACCTAGTCATGAAAAGCTGCTTGCATCGGTTCTACTCTTTGGATCACCAGTTTGGGCCACATCCGCAGACACGACGAGCTGCGTAAGAGGCGAGGCTTTAATACGTCGGCTCTCTGCGCGCAGGGTTGCATGTGCGTTCCGTACAATCTCAAATGAAGCAGTTGGCGTCAAAGCCGAGATGATTCCAATAGATACAATGACCCGTGAACGGCAGAGTCGTTACGACAAAAGAGACATGAAGCAACATTGCTTGGAACTAGCAGAATGGCAGTAGCGATGGGAAACTTCCTACAACGGAAGCTGGACCTACCGACTGATTACTAGTTTAATCGTGTATCAGTCGAAAGCACGGCGGGGTAAATTATCTCATGCGGCTTCTAACGGGACATGATTTCTTTAAAGCCTAACTTCACATGTTCAAACTGAATGGTACCTCGAACCGCCCTATGTGCGAACCACCTGTCGACGACGCCGAACACGTATGTTTTCGGTGCCCACGTTTCGCACCTCAACGTCGAGTCACCAGAGATAATTGGTGTAGGCCAGATGACTCCAGAAAACTTAGTTGCATGTAGGCTTGTTTCTGAAAGCTCTTGGTTTCGCTCAAAAATTCTGGAACTATGGCGCCTGGAGAAAGGAAGGAAGTGGATCTGATGATCCCGCACTCGACTAACATCAAGTCACTGGGTCACTATTCCACTTTCCGCGATGGAGGAGAATGAGAGTTTGTTTTTAGCAAGGAGCTAGAATATACTACAGAGGGTGGCTGACCCTATGGTTTCAGAGCTCTTGGTTGACGCTCGACGCCGCCATGTATTCTGCAGGAAAAACATGAGGTGCCTGATGATGGCGTATTGTTGTTTCAGATCTTTCTATATTGTTGTCCTTTCGTTTATCTGTATTTAAATTATATTAGTGGTTAGTTGGTTCAATATATAACTGTAAAAACAGAAGTCATCAAATCACAAATATATAATTTTTTATTGCAATAACATTCACTTTCAGGATTTATGTTAACTACAATAACATTTCAATAGCTTCCATTCTTTTGATAATAACTGATGCAGGAAGCAAAGTTTATTTAAAGTTTCTCAATTCGTTCTTCAAACATTTTCATTCCGTTTTTAAATGAATGGTTTTTGGTTGTGTAACCCAGAGTAAGAGGATTTATACAACACGAGGGCCACACCCATCCGACCGTGAAGAGCGCCAAATGGAATACTAGAATACTCTGTTTCTCTTAAGAGCTTTTACTGTAAAAAACATGGCTTCAATTTGCTGCAAAGATGGAGGCGCTTCCACACTGTAGTATATTCTAGCTCGTTTGTTTTCAGTGAGTAAAAATTTCACACGTTTGGTAGTACAGGCTACTCAGTGTCATTTGAAGATTTCCTTGTAAAACACACACATACATATACATACATACATACACCTCTGCTTCCTTCATAAACCATGACATAATTTTCAAAAACTTTAATAATATCTCCTAATAGTTAAAATCATTTTTATAGATAGTACCTGCTGATGAAAGTCCAGGGCTTCCTCAAATTTTTGAAGTTTTCGACATGTATGACCCAAATTATTGAGCAAAGGTTCCCACTTTTCTGCTATCATTGACTCGTTAATACTACGAACTCGGCTCAAAGCTTCTTGAAAATGCCTCTCCGCTCCAGTGTAACTGAAAAAAATTAATACAGAAAAATAAATCTATAATATTTTAAAATAATGACTTCATACATTGCAAGTATTCTGATTCCTCTAAATAATTATAAATTATGAAAGTGCAAAAATTCACAAATGCATTTATTTCCCACTTCTATTCCACCGGAGTGGCCCCAATTTTCCTCCAATTTTCGACTCTAATTGCTGAGCCCTGGTAACAAAAAAATTGGATAAATCCAGTTGCTAAATATAGGGGGAAAATCTACAAACACATGGAGTAGCCAGAATCCATGTTTTGTGCGTCCTTGATACCAAAAAATCGATTGACGGCAAAAAGGAAGTCTGCCCGTCCCTCTGTGCACAACGCTAACGCATAAACCATTCACCATTCGATTTTCTCCAAAATTGATATTTCCAATCGTTCCGTTTGATGTCGCAGCCCCTGGAATTTGAAGCTGATATTTTTATTTTTAATTAAAATATGAAACTTGGAATTTGAAGCTGATATTTTAAATTTTGTTGTTGGATAGTGCGAAGGACGATTAAGAGAATGGTGCAGGTCTCATTTTCAAGCAAATTTCTGATTTCACAAAAATTCAATTTTATTTCGGCGTCTTCCTACAAATATAATATTGAAGATAGAGAATTTGTTCCTAAATGAAATCTGTTTCTTAAAGACAGATCTTGAAATAAGGTCACGTTCAACTTTTCGAAAATATGAGTAGTTTTCGTGCAATTGTGTGCGAAATAGAGGCAATTAAAAGTCTCATAATGTTCTCCACTCCAAATGTTTTCTTTAAAATTTCTTCACATATGTAACTAAGGTCGGTAAAAAGTGTGGTGCTAGTCCCATTTCACTCTTCTTTTTTTAAAAAAAACTGCAAAAAGTTTACATTTTAAAACTACAAAATTGAAGATAGAGATTTTTGCTTCTGTCTATTCTAAAAACATTAGCTCTTTAAAAGGGTCATGAACAATTTTTTTACTAAAAAGAGTAGTTTTTGTATAATTTGCGCTGAAAATTTACGCAATTTCTAAAAAAATATCTTCTAAAAAACCGCTCTTTTTTTTTCTTTTTTTTCATGTAAAGAAGGGACGCTTAAAAGAACGGCGCAAGTCTCATTTTCGTTGAACTTTCCGTATTTCCGAAAATTGCAAAAACATTTGGAAACTACTATATGGAAGATCGAGAGTTTTGTCTTAAACAAACTCTGTTGTAAAAATCAGCTAATTAAAAAAGGTCAAGTAAATTTGTTTCAAAAAATTAGTAGTTTTCCCTAAACTTTTGCCTGAAATATATACAGGTGTCCCACCAACTACAAGCCGCGAGAAAAATTCTCAGTGAAAAGGAATATATCCAATTATTCTACTGAAAATCTCAATATTAATTCGATTTTTACCAATTAGGTTTTCTGTTTTAAAAGTACGACTTAAATATAATATGAAACAAAAATCGTAAAAATTGAGAACCATAATTTTGTAGGAACTTGTATTTTTGAATTTTATACTACCATTATCCGCTCCATTGCACAACTGCAGCGATGAATATTTAAGAAGTTCATTGCTGAACGGCGATGTGTTTGTTTATTTACTGAACTTAAATATAAGCTTGTTTTATTTACTGAACGTTTGAGTTACAATGTTCTCTACCTTCAATTTAACTTTTGTAGGGAAGAACACACTACACAGATATGCAAAAAGGTAATGTGGGAGACGAAATTAGGTTAGACGCGAATCACTTCACTTTATGAACGAAATAAAATTACTAAACTATTAAAATAACAAATACACATTACTACACATTCATTTAGGAGCGCACTGAGCACACGCCTTGCCTCTCTAACCATCCGAGTCGAACTGTCCTCTCGCTTCCCGCGCAACAGTGTTGCCGAGATGTTTTACCGCGCCGCTTTCTTCTTCGGCAGTAAATCCTTTACATTCCTTCACCGATTCCCACAGTTATATCTTCCTTTCGAATGCAATCATAATGCGATATACTGGACGGGCTTTAATTTTGGATATTCAATTTATATGTGAAATTATCATTGTTTGCCAGTATAATGTGCTGGAAATAATGCGAGCAGTTACAAATAATGCGAGAAAGTGTGCAGTTGTAGCACTACCAATTTCTTCAAACACTTTGTAGGATTAAGTATTACACAAACTGTAACAGAAGACATGAATCCATTTTTATCTATTTTAGATTTTATATATTTTATCAATAGCCATGTTTATCTATTTTCTGCATTTGTGCGTGCAAGTGCTTCAAATGACTTCCCACGAGAAAGTCTGTGCCATTCTGCAGCACAATTAGTTTAGAACAATTTCCATATAAGTTAAAATGTCAGATCTTGAATAGTGTACTTTTTCAAAGTTAAGTTTCGATCAGTCAGAGTTTGCCGAACACGTGACCAGCACCACTTTTCATACAATCCTTTGATACATATGAAAAGAAAGTTTTTTAAAAAAAGTAGAGCCTTTTTTGAGAACAAAAATTGCCTATATTTCGAAAAAAAGTACTAATATTTGCGAAAATTAAATTTGTAAATGACCTTATTTCAAGATCTATTTTTAAAGAACATATTTCGTTCAGGAAAAATATCTATTTTCAATATTGTAGTTGTAGGAAGATACAAAAAAAATCGTTTGCAATTTTCGGAAGGCGTCCTACGTTCTCAAAAGATAATGTTTATTAAAAAAAAGGGAGCAACTTTTGATAAAAATTGTAAATATTGAGTCTTCGTGAAAAGTAAAGCCAACCCCCAAAAATCAAATATCTAATTCAAACTCAGAGGGCCTCGAGTTTCTTTAAATTGATAGAAAATATCAATTTTGGACCAAATAGGCTGAACGATTTTGGTGCTAGCATTTGCTCACGGACATACTTTTGTCTGTCAATCGATTTTTCGGTAGAAAGGTCCCTAAAAACAGAGATTCGTACTGCACATGTTAGAGGAAGAAATTTAATTTACCTAGGAAGAAGATTTATCCACTTTTTCGTTACCAGTTCCCGGCAATAAGATTTTTTTTCTGTACAACGGCACACGATTCCAATACTTTCTCTTTGTATGAAGTAAGAGCAACAAAGTAAAATCATTTTTCTAAACGATCGATGGTAGGTTCGCCCATAAAGGGTTGCAGATCCGTTTGATCGGTGTGTTCCTCAGGTAACAAGGACTCACGGATAAATACCGCGACATCACTCGAGCGCGATACTCTTCTAAATAGACAAAAGACGCGGAGAGCGAATGATGAAGAAAAGTTTTTTGGAGACTCATGCAGATTTGGGTTGCCTCAGGGTGTTGGCTAAGGATAGGATCACCGGGTTTCTAGTCTGGGAAGTCGTCGCGCTCCAGAGACGGACACTTTCTAGGAAACTATTTCTCGGCGGAATTTTAGGGGCATTTTTGTGAGAGGTTATTGGATGATCCCCAGACATTGCGGGCCAGTTAGACATTGAGAATTGTGAGAATCCTTTCTGCAATCCGAACAGACTGCTCATGCAGCGTTTTACTGCTCATGCAGCGTTCGAGTACGGCCGAATGCGGAGATTATACATGCAACACATCGTCTCCAGAAGAAAGTGACGGTCGAAAGTAATGATCAGCGTTGAGGTGGGCTGAGTACCTTATTTCCTTCCCGTTGTGACCTGTGAACATCTAATCTCCGACTCGAAGGTTTTTAAGACCTTCCACAGTTTTAGGCGAAAAAGTTTTCTTTCTTACCACACCCATACAGAGGTTTAAGATACATGTGAGCCTCCAGGTTAGACAATTACTTTTTATTAGTTTATTTGTTCTACATTCGAAAATAGTCCCAGATGGCTGACGAACCACTACCTGGAACTTCCCGAAGATTTCAATTATCACAGCGAGCGTTACTGCGCTCACCCTCTTAATAGTTTCTCATTCTTTATACCACATAATAAAAAATCGAGACTTTTTCGGCTTGTCATTATCTTAAAAAAGAAACAGGTAGATATTATTTTCATTGCCTCTTCACTCTTAAGGAAGAATGCATTTTTGTTGGAATTCGCTCGATGATCCCCAGACACTGCCGGCCAGTTGGACATGAAGTATTGATTCTTCCTTAAGGGAGAGGGCAGGTAGGAAGATTTGGCATCCACAGAGAGGAGAGTCATTTCATATTGGTAGTCTCACAATAAAGCACTACAAGGCTCCATTAGAGAGCACACTCCATTAGAGAACAAGGGTTTCCCCAGGGTTAGATAAGGAAGTGGAAGTGGCGAGCATTCCATGGAATGAAGGGAATGAGTCCCTTAAGTAAAGCAGAGAAAAAATCCTTTCTGTATTTATAATATTCGTTGCAACAAACACTTTGAACTTTTCTTTAAGTGTGTCATTAAACAGTCCTTTTGTTTTTGGAATCATGCTCGAAATATAAGCACCACAACTCCACAGGCCAGTAGAATAGTATTGACAAAATACAGCACAGAATCTATAACCAGTGCCAGCATACAATACGTTGTATTACTCGCGCAACTTTTGTTGAACGATGACCTTGCTTCCCCCTCTCTGGCACAAGAAAAAGTTGAAGGAAAAAGCTCGCAGCGAGCACTGATAACATCTTCACTGCCATGAAATAGAAACAATTTTCTTTTGAAGACGAGAACTTCTGTCCGTTACTTTCTGCAAAAAAACTAAATAAATGACCGAAGCAGGTGAAGATATATCACAGGAGATACCTCGAACTCCTGAAAAAGTTAGAACGCAAAGTATTGAGAAAGTTGCTCAGGCATGACTGATTCTCCAAAGATTGGCATTGCTTCATAAAATCTAGGGGCCGATTTCGTAACTAATACCCCCACTCTACCCGCATTTTTCAATCCATCGTTCAAGAAGCATTGCGCGAGTAATAACAGTTAATAGCAGTACTAATACATTTCATGGTGTTAAGGACGTTTCCACGTGTCGCAATCTATAGATAGGGTTTTTGCGATTGTTAGGCGAGAAAGTTGAAGTTAACTGTCATTTATTTATATAACATTTATTTATT